TTGGAAAAAATAAATGTTTATACAATTTAAAAAATATATAACACTTTTTAATGATTTAAACGGATCCCAAACCTCCGAGATATGTTATGTTCATATTAATGATGAAAAAAATGTTTTTGCTAAATTTTTTTGATAGTAAAAAAAAAAAAAAAAATAAAACAAAAGAATTAATGAATACCAAGAAAAACTAACTTTTATTTTTGTCAAAGCTCACCCTCCCTGTTTTATTGTAGGCCTAAAAGTCAGCATAATATATGTCGCAATCTACAGACTTGATAATTTATTCAGGCATGTTTTACTCCAAAGAGTTTTAGTACATCGATTTTTGTTTTGTTTTTCTTGGTATTCATTTATTCTTTTGTTTTAATCAAAAAAATTTAGCCTAAACTTTTTTTTTAATTCTATTTAATATAAGCACAACATGTCTCGGAGGTTTTGGGATCTATTTAAATAAAACTTGTTCATTCATGAAACAATCATTAAAAGTAGTTATGAAAGCATTTTGTGTCACTTTAAAACATTTCAAAGGATAAGTTTTAAAGTATTTTATTTTAAATCCAATTAAAAACGTAACAAAAAGTATTTAAATTATTTTGAATAATTAAATTTCATTATTATTATTTTTTTAATTTTCTCCCTAGTTTAAGTTTAGCTAGCATTTCGTTTTTTAGCGCATTTCTAAAATGTTCAAAAATTATCTAAACATCTAAACAGTTGTGGTCAAGTAGTCAAAAAAAAAAAACCATTTGTCTGGTCAGCAATAGCGCTTGATCGCATGCTAATTCTGTCCAATATTTAGTTTCTACTTTTACAAAGAATTGTTTAAAACTTTTTTTTTTTAACTTGACTAACTGATCAGAGCAAAAAATGATTAAAAATTACTATTTTAAATAGACTACAGTATTTTTTTAAACAATTTTTTTTTGTGCAATTTTTTGGAAAAAATAAATGTTTATACCATTTAAAAAATATATAACACTTTTTAATGATTTAAACGAATATTTGAAAATCTTTGTAAAGATTGTTACACAAAAATATGTAGGAATATTTTATATCAAATTTGTTTTGTAAAATTTTTATTACATCTTTTATCTATTTAAAGTTTTCAAAGTGACAAAATTGCAATGAATTGAATGAAAATAGAAAAGTGGTATAGCATAATACGTTTTTTCAATTTTCAAAATTGAGTTTTTAATGTTAAAAATGTTTATTGCAAAGCTTGCATTTGTTGATTACGGTAGTTTTATAACTTAGAATAATAAGAGAAAGGTTTTAATATGACACTCTTTAAAAATACAATATGAATTGAAAAATACATGTTCTATAAAAGCATGCTGCAATAGTTTGATAATCACTGTCTGTCTTGAATTATTGCCATATGAAAATTATTACATTAAACTTATCAATACTTATTGGAAAACAATAAGTCTTGATAAGTAATCAGTGTATGTAAAATGACACTTTTTGCAGACAATTCTGGTAAATTATTTTTGAACTTTTTCGATGCAAATTAAATCTTTTAAAAGATGGGGCTCTAAACTGGGGTGCAAGATTCTAATACAGGCTGCACATAAACTTTGTAAGCTTTTAACAAAAGTTGAGAATTGTTAAAGATGAAGTATTTTAAAAATAATTAAATGCGAGAGTATGCTATGCTTGAAATATGAGAGCAGTGATTAGAGAACTTTTTATCAAAGGACATAGTGATTCCAATATCCTGAATTAAATAAACAGTTTCATTATTGATGACGGAGTTTAATGAATAAGGATGAGTAGGTATATTATATCTTCTATAGCATAAATAAAAACATTTGTTGGTTGCTATTTTTAGTTGCCAATCATTGGACCATACAAAGATTTTTTTAAAGTGTTAACAAGATCAATGTTGTTGTAATCAATTCTCGATTGATACAACTTAATATCATCTGCAAACAGCTTAGTGCCACAATCTCCATTAGTGCTATAAACTATGTCGTTAACAAATATTAAGAACAATATAGGTCCTAGTACAGTTCCTTGTAGTATTCCACTTTTAATTGGAGTGTTTTCAGAATATGAGGTACCAACACACACACATTGAAAAAAATTAGTTAATAGGAATGTTAATAGTAAATAGAAATAGGAATGGCAATGGTAGTTGCAATTAGTTTTAAAAATATTGGAGGACCATTCGGAGATGTGGAAAATTTTGCTGGGAGTTTTTGTAGCAATGAAACAAATCTTATGGAAATAATATGTTACTCAAAGAGTTTTGATAGGATAAAAAATCTAACAGAGGACTAACACCGTTGTTAGTGATGAAGACAGAGGCAAAAAATTCGTTCAAACTACACGTTTTTTTACAATCGTCTTTTAAAGTTGCCAGCATTTTTGAACATGTGGATTTGCGATTTATAAAACAGAATTGATGTTGAGAAAAAGATTTAATTTCTAATAGATGCATATTTAGTAAAACTAAGGTGCAGAAAAGGTAGTTTTAACATTGACAAAGAGAACCATCAAAACTTGCAAGTGGTGCAACAGAATAGTGACACTTGGATTTTGAATTGATAAAAGAGTAAAATTTGTTGATATTATTTTTATTAACAATATCTTTCTTCTTATTAATAGCGTTTTTTATTATTATAGCATCATATAGATGTGAGCAATTCTTGTATTTGATAAAAGTATTTAAATTAAAATTCCTTTTGTATTTTCGGTGTAAAATAAAAATTTTTAGAAGCCAAATTTCGAAGTGCGCGAGATTGAATACTGTATCTTTTTTTTATGGAGTGCTGGTACGTGCGACAAAATGTTACATATAGCCTGCCAGAATGATTCAACATTATGATGTTGCTCAGCAAATTTGTACCAGTTTACATTAATTAAATCTTTGTTGATTTTATTAAAGTTGGCCTTATGAAAATTATATGAAATTGGAAATAATGGTTTTTTATTGCTATTTAAGGTTCCCAAATTGCAATTAAAGAGAATGGTTCAATGGTTGCAGGTACTGGTGAAAGGGGCTGTAGTTACTATGTTTTATGCATTGACTTTATCATTGATTTTTATAAGCATCCAAAATGTTGTTTAATCAGGTACTGTTTGATACCAGCTGGGTTAGGGCGTTACAAGTTTCCATGAACAAGTCGTGACTAGAATCGCCTAGGCTAATAGGTATTGACCAATCAATAAGTGGTAGATTAAAATCGCCTGATACTATACAAGTATGATTACAAGTTGATAAAATTTTACATAGCATCTTACATAAGATGTAAGATGCTTCGGTTTTGAAAAAATATGAGGCTGCATATAGGGGGGGGGGGGGGTAGTAAATGCATGAAATGCGTAACTTTTTGAGACTAGAGGAGACATATGTCTACTCAAGTAATTTCAGTAACTACAAGTTCTTCAGGAACATCAAAATTAATTTGTACAGAATGGATGTTACTTCGCACTAATATGAGTGAGCCACCACCATTGCCATTACGATCACGTCAAAAAATTTGGAAATCATTTCCATTTAACAGTAGCAAGTCTGGAGTTTTGTTATTAAAACAGGTTTCCGTGAGGAGAATAACATCGAGATTTTGGATAAGATTATGTAAATGATGAAGTTTGTTGTTAAGTGATCTTGCATTGAAGTATGCACAATTAATGATTTTATTTAGTCGTGAAAAAATTAATAATAGAGTTATATCCATAAAAGATTTTTTTTTTTAATTATAAAAAAATAAACTCTTTATAAGATGTTGTTTAATGTCTTTTTTGCATTTTTTTTGATAAAATCAAACATTATTACAAAACAAACAAATAAACAAAAATTAAAATATCAAATGTGAACTATTTTTTAGCTGATAATTTTTTGTTTTTTTTATTAAAAAAAATAATTGGTAATCGTTGTTGTTTGTTATGACAAATTGTGTAAATAAATATTCTTGCTATTGCAAGGTGATAAATATATGTTTTTTTAATATGTTTCTTTTATGATTTCTTTTTTTTAAGCATTGTATAACATCTTTTTTCTTTTGCAGAACATTTTTTATGGAAAAGTTAAAATAAAAAAAATATTTTTTAAATAGCGCGAATTTTAAACGAAATTGTTATGCAAACTTTTTAAGTAATCGCCATTTAAACTTCATAAGTGGTTTTTACAACATTAATTACTTCTTTTATTGCTTAACAATATCTTACCACTAAACAATATCTGGGCAATTCCACGAGAAAGAGGGAGAAAAAAAAAAGAAAAAAAGTTATGAAAACACATGCTAAACTCCACAATTTTTTTTTTAACTATTTAAAAATACTTTTAAGCAAAAAAGTTATTTAAAAAAAGCATTTTATCATAACATTAGCATGGCTTTAAAGTTGTAAGGGTCATATAAACATGTTTTGACGCTTATTTACAGTCTTGTAGTGTAGCGTTAAAAATTAGTAAAAACTATGAAACTCAGCATATAATAACATCAATATGTGCTAAATACACATACCAAATGATTTTTTTTTTAAACATGCCTTTCGCTGCATTAAGTCTGACAAAGTTGTTTTGTTCAGAAGTGGTAAAAAATAAGCGTTACGATCATCACACTACGCAGAGTTAATTTTTGAGTTAAGACTTAATGCTGTAACTTTTATGTACTAAATTAAATGACAGTATTTCACATTTCTGGAAAGTTTCAAGTCATTTCCATTTTTGGTTCATTTAGTTTCCATTTTCCGCTCATTAATAGCTTAAAGAGTGTCAAATATTACAAATGCCACTCTTGCGGAATCGTCATCTTAGACTTTGTTTAAATTTAAAAAAATGATAAAACGTGGCTAGACCAAAATAGCTTACTGCTTATGTTAAATGGCTTAGCGCGTGCATAAATTTGTTTTGAAGTGTAAACTGGTGTGCCAGTTTAGGCTTTAAAACAAGGACTAATTTATATATTTCAAAGCAGATACTACCCAAAAAGTGTTACTTTTGTTGTTTCACTTTTTTTAGATTCTGATTTTGTTTGTATTATTTTTCATTTTAGGCAAACATGAGATTACTTGATTTACCATTATTGGTGATTATTGTGGTAAGTTTTTGTTTTCATCTGTTAACAGCCCTCCCAATTTAGGTTAGCATACAGCAATGTCAATGTTAAAACTACCTTTTCTGCACCTTAGTTTTACTAAATATGTGTCAACCTTAGTCTCTATAAATGTCAACATGACTCAATGTTTATGTTGTATTTCAAATAAAAATGTAGAGGGAAAAATATTTTTTTAAAAAAAAAAACTTTTATTAATTGCTGTTACTTTGCAAAATAAAAAGTTACTATCAGCTTTAAAACTAGATTACTAGATTAAAGTTGTTTTAAAAATTGAAATGCTGAAATAACTTTATTAGAATTATAAAAAAACAATAATTGTGATAATTGTAAAGAAAACTATTTTTAAGATTTTTAGATTTAAAAAAAAATTGTTAAAAATAATAACACAGTTTAATAATCTAGTTTAATTCATCCCTAAACCACATTTTAAATAAGTAAAAATTTTTGTTTAGAGTTTAATCGAATATTGAGTGGAATATTTTCTAAGAATTATTTCTTGAGAGAATAAAAATAGTATAAATAAATAAAAATAGTTTAAATTGAATTAATGAAAATATAAAAATTAGATAATATCAAAAAAACTTTTATGATATAATCAACATTTGCTAAATAAAAAAATTTTATTTAACAAATGTCAGTTGTTTAAATCAATTTTAAAAGTTGTTTAACTACAAAAAAAATCTGTAAATTTCATAAATCAGGAAAATGTAAAGACAGGATAGAATTCCAAATAGAAAATGCGTGTCCAAACAAAAAACTAGAGAAATAAAATTTCCCATACCTAAAAAAAAGGTGGCCCAAGTCATTTTTTAACATTTTGAGATAACCACAAAAACTTTAAAAGAAGTTTGAATATTTATAACTTATATATTATTCCAACAAATGTCGGAAACATAGAGTAAATATGAGTACTGCAATTGCAATACTCAGAGTAGTTTCTTGAAGATAATTTAAATATTTATTTCAAAGCATGCAATATACAATTTCTTGAAGCTCTGCATCAATTTTTTTGTTTATTTGTTTTATGTAATTCACCTCCTCAAGGCCAAGAATGTAACTAGAATGTTAATATTCGATTACACTCTAAACAAAAATTTTTACTTCTTTAAAATGTGGTTTAAAGATGAATTAAACTAGATTATTAAACATTTAAGGAAGCTACTTTATTGTAGTTACAACTTCTCAACTCTTTCACTCTAAAACACAAACCTTGACGAGCAAGGCTGGTTCGCCGAGAAACAAATTAAGCATGGTATTACCAATAAAGTGGGAATTAAACTTGGAACTTCTTGCTTATGGTTCAAGAGCACTACCACTACACTACTATCATTTTCTGGAAATTTGACAAAATTTTCTGAAGACAAGGGTAGTCAAACAATAATCAGCAAACGAGTGTTGAAGTGTTCTTCTAAAGTAACCAGAAATAATGAAAAAATTAACTTCACAGTAGGGAACTGTGTAAATGCTCCTATAGTTGTACTTCAACTATTTATAATTTTTAAAGCCAAACACCTTGCAGTAAACTACAGTAATGTAAATGGCCTAAAAAAAGTCAGATATATAATTTCACCCTCAGGCTTGTTGGAAGGCAATTCATTCAATGGCTGAATAAGATAATAGTTCCAGCATACTAAAAAATTACTGGTACCCATATGTCAATACAATGATGACCACAGCCATTTCCTTACTCCAAATTCCATTTGCTATCACTACAAATCTATTCATCCTTGTATGGAATACCTTTATCATATTTGGACTGGTTCTTCTAATAATACTCTTTCTCCATTTAGACAAGGTCCAAAGAAGTATTGTAAATGTGCTCAAACAAGCGATCATCTCTTCTTCTATCAACCAAAACTCTTGTGTGACTCTTTATTCTGCGATGTTGCATCCTTTTACTGTATCTGTCCCTTCATGCTCTTCATAATAAGATCATTTGTATAGGATCATTGTACTATTGAACATTTTTATTTCACTTTAAAAGAGGATCATTGTATTATTGAACATTTTTATTTCAATTTAAAAGACGATCATTGTATTATCGAACATTTTTATTTCACTTTAAATACTTTTAACTTAAAATAAAACTGTAAAATAAAATAAATTCTCTAATAAATCTGTTTTTGATAGAAAATTGTAAAATGAACTTCTATCTTTATATAGAGCAAATATTTCCTAATAAATCTTTTTTTTAAAAGAAAAAAAAATATATCCTATTTATTCGAAAACTGTTTTACCAGACCCACTATTGTCATGCTGTATCATCTCACTGAATTTTTTTTTTTATTATTATTTTCACTTTTCTTAGGCCCCCTCAGCAGTTAATTTCATAATTTTTTTTAAAGGTCTATATTATAAACTATTAAAGGTTGTATTAGTTGATAAAAATTTTCTTTTGAACCATTTGTATTAATAGTTGTTATTTGTATCTAGTGTTACGTTTGTATTTGTGTTTGGTTGAAGTTTAATGGCTTAGCATGGCTACTCACACTCTTGATGTTTTTTGCTGTATTTGTGTTTTGGTTTGTAAATGTCTCAGCACACAAATATTTTGATTGGAGGCAAGTACTAAATAAAATAAACTTAATAGTTTGTGTGTTTTTATTCATATAAAATTGCTATTAAATAATAATACATTCTAAAATTTTTTTTAGATATTATTCAACACGCATTGTTGGTTTAGAATTACAAATAGCTGTAATAGGATTGGTTGGTACAAGTGTTTTTATGGTATTGGTGTGGAAAAGAAAAAAACTGCCATTCAAATTCAAAGTATTTTATTGTTATTTTTTTATATAAAAAATATTTAAACACAAAAAGGTTGCATAAATGCATATGTTATAAATATGTTTTTGTTTAAATAGTAACAAATAATAAATTAACATTTTTATTTCAATAATAATATGTTCTCTCTCTAAATATACAAGTTTTTGTTTAAATAGTGATAAATAATAAATGGGACTGAGTTTATAAAACAATTTTTCTATACAGTTTTTTTAGAAAAAGAAGGAAACAAAGAATAATGAAAAAAATTTATTGCTGCCCCAAACCTTCAGTCAATGCAGCAGCAACTCCTGTGCATGTTCTTCCTAAATCAGTCAATGTATGTACTAAAGTCCTCACAGCTCTTTATATCAGTATGTCACAATTGAATTTAATGGTTTATACACTTTATGAATAAACCATTGAATTTAGTTAAGAAAACTAATTAAATTTTATTGTTTTTTAAAAAACCACAAAAATGCAACTTTATAGATTGAATTATTATTATTATTTTTTTTCAAATAAAAACATTTGAATGTTTTTATTTTTATTTTTTTACTGTTTGCATATGTCGACTAACAAAAAGTTAAAACATGCAAGGAGTGCTGCTGCATTGAGTGAAGGTCTTGGTTTGTTAAGCAATCTAATAATTAAAAAAAAAAAAAAGAAAGTTATCAAGTTTTTTGCGGTCTTCTAGACTAATTTTAAAACATAAAAATATTGCATCAAAGGATAATTTTTAAAATATTTTTTTAATACAATAAATGCGGGTAAAAATTAATAGTCTAAAGACTATTGATTTTTATCTGCAGTTCTACTTTGTTTTTGTTTTTTTAATTTAAGAATTCTTTAAAAAAAAAAAGTATATATAATAATAATAAAACTATATTTTGAAAATCACAGTGCCAAAGTTTGTATTCCACAATTTCTATTATTAATTAGAACATAAGAAAATTGTGCGAGTGTTTAAAAGCATTTAAAAAAATATTTCCTAAATAAAAACTAAAAAATTTTATCTTTCCAAATTTTATTTAAGGTTACTTAAAATTTTATTTTTTCAATTTTTATTTAAGGATTTAGAGATAAAGTAATAATAATAAATTTTTCGAAAGAAATACTTCAACAAGCCTTTCTAAGAAGCATTATGACCAAGCATTTTATGTAGAAAATAGATTTGCTTTCAGCAAGTTTTACTTATAGTTTTTGCTTTTAAGTTATCTTTAATATTGTTTATATGATGTTTACCTAAGAAAATATTAGGTCGTAAATAAAGTGAATTTTTTAAGGAAAAAAAAACTTTATGAAATTTTTTTTCAATTTAAAGACATAATTAAATATGATTTTAAAAGTTTAAATCTAGTTTTGAAGAAATGTAAAATACTAAAATGTTAAGTGTAAAATTTAATTTTTAAAATTTTTATTAAAATTTTTTTTTATTATCATCTGCTAACTAATTCATTACATTAAACATTAGTCACTCTATCATAGATTATAATATGTAAAAGTAAGTTAAATTTTTTTTTTCCTTATAAAAAGAGAAAAGTGTTTTTGTTGAAGAAAAGTCTTTTCACAAATATATTTAAAATGTTTGTTTCTTATTAATTCAATTTCGTATAAAGTTTTTTTGATGTAATTCTGTACAAGGAGAAATAAAATAAATTTTTAAAATCAATTCACATGCACAATTCCAAAAGATGTTTATAGTCACAGTGTTGCTCTTGTAGCATTTGTTAATGATAGTTATTAGTGAAAGGTGGGAAACTTTCTTTGGGAATGAAACCAAAAGATATATTAAAAGATTATGCTTTGACAACTTCCAGTAATACTTATACTAAAAAAGATTCACTTCTTTGAATTGTAAATAAAGTTCACTACTTTGAATTTTAAAAAAGTTCATTACTTTGAACTGTAAAAAAGGTTCACTACTTTGAATTCTAAAAAAGATTACAAACTCTGATTGAAGATTGTTCCCTTGAAATTTTGTGACACAAAATAAGACTCCTGGACCAGCCAATCCTTTATTTAAAAAACTCAAAGATATACAATTTGAAATTCCTGATTGTCATTATGATACTAATGATGTTAAAAATTTATTTGGAATAATACAAAAGGAACTATTATTGAGTTGTTTCTTATAATTTCAAGGAAAAAAAAGTTTTAAGAGGTGATGAAAAAACTTGCTTAGCTAGTTGTTCCTTAATTTGTCTTCTATAGTTATATAAGTAAGGAAACCAAGAGCTCTTTATTTTTATTAAATTTTTTGTTTTGTTTATAGTTATTAAGGTGCTCCCAGAGGCCAGAATTCTAACCACTGTATTCATCTGCATTATCCATCTTTCAAGGTTCCTAGGAAAAGCTATATATTATCTTAAATTGCAACTTCTTTTAAATCAAATTAATTTTGTTCAGGAAAATAAACTACATTTATAAAAAATAAATAATAAGGCAGAATTCATTGCATGTTTTTATGCAAAATTGTGTTTGCAATCTGATATGGCTATCGAAGCCCCATATCTAGATATTTTATCAATACATAAAATGCATCTATACAATGATGTTTGTGCCAAACCAGGTGCAGTTAAAGTAGTATTGAAATCATTTTATAAACATACCTGATTTCTCGCTTGAAAAGGAAAGTTTATATTAAGATTCACCAAATTTATCATTACTAGTTGATCAGTTCTTATATTTGATGTTTGATAGTAATGAGTTGGATAAACAAAGGATAAGAGACTGGCTTACCCTTTCACCTCAATATTTCTACACACAATCAAGTATTAGGATCTTAAAAGATCTTGCTAAATCACTAGTAGTTGTAAACAACCCTGTTGTACAATCAGTGGGAATGATGCAGTAGTTTATGAAAAGATACAATAAAAAAGAAGAGTTTTAAAACATATTGTTTATAGTTAATAAAGCCAGATTTACTGTAAAAAAAAATCAGGAAAAAATGTCTCCAAATTCTTCTGTGAAAAGGTTAATTGACTCACTTTCAGCAATGGCAAAAAAAGATGTGAAAATTATGAAATTATGTTGATTTATTTATTATATGATAAAAATTTGAAATTTAATCATTGTTTTTTTATTTCAATAAAAAATGAATTAGTTAAAGAAAAAAACCATATTATCAGTTTCTTATCCGAGATATCATTTCCTTTTGTATAAAATGGAAAATTGCTTAAACTCTCATAGTATTACATGTAGCCCAAAAATATATAAATCCTTTATAGACTTATATAAAAGTCTATAAACGATTTAAAGCAGTATTAAAATGATAGTGATAAAGCTATAGCATTATCATTTGATATATAAAATACATATGTAGTAAGTGACCGGGGCCCTTTTCCTGCCCCTGTCCTCAACTGAAAATGAGACTTTTTGCAAACCCAGCTCTAGCCTCTGCAAAATTATAAGATTTAGCAGATTTTTATAGCTGGGGCTAAAAAAAAATTTTATAATTCTTTATATATTTTAATTTTATACTTACATTTACTATTAAATACTGGCATATATTTACACTCTTCTTTACTTCCAACAAGATTGTAAGCAACCACTATTAAGTTATGAGTTGCTTTAAATAGAGAATAAGTTAAAATACTAGGAAACAGTTAACTGAAGACTTAGAAAGTTGTAGGTTGTATAAATAAAAAAAACATGGAGGTAAGAGTTATAAAGTTTTTTTTGATGTGGAAGGAAATAAACTGGATTAATAAAAGTTTTTATAGCATAAAAGGATAGGTACAGTAAAGGGATGCAACTTGTTGAATGAGAAGCTAAATAAGAATGAGTTTTGGTTTATCGTAACAGAGATTTTTTGAGCATTTGAGCATTGACTGTGATAGAATTTGTAGAAAAAAGTAAGAAATGCAATCTTACAACAATGGGAAAGTGGTTTAAGTTTGGCAGATAATCTGTTTATAAGAATAGCTTGTACATTTAAAGTCAATGAAATAAAATAGTGTTTTATCACTACTCAACTGCCTGCTACCATAAATAAAGCTTTATGATTTAATTTTTTTTATGAAATATAAATAATAAAGTCAATGATTTTATTTTTTCGCACATGATCTGAAAAAATTTCATTAAAATGTGGATTAATGTGTGAAAAATTTAACATCGTTGAACACCATATGACTTTAGCTATATAATGTTAAGAAATTAGGATACATGTGGATACAAAAATTTGTAAAAGTTGAAAAATTAAAAACAAAAAAAGATTTGATAATTTTAATGCAATTTTTCAAACCATATTCTAAAACATATTACTTCTCTTTTTAATAAAATATTTAATATCAATAAATAGTACTTACCTACTAAAGTAAAACCCATTACTACAATAAAATGATTCTTTTTAAAAAAAATTTTTAATGATTATTAAAAATTTTGTTAATATTACAAACGCTGTAAATTTGTAGCTAAATTTTTTTAAAAATAAAATTACATTTCAATGATGTTTTAATTGTTTAATTGGTCTGGAATGTTTTTTATAATAAACACTGTTATTACCAATACAGGACTGTAATTATAAAAATATTATCAATTAGTCAATTTCTTGAACTGACTTTGTCCATCTAGCTTGTATAAAGCGATACACTGTGGGTCACCCTGCTACTGGTAATATATAATCTAGTACAATCTGCTTCAGTTAAGAAGTTAAAATAAAACCACTTAAAAAACTGATATAAACCTCCAATTGAACTCTGGTTAAGGAAAGGTTGAACTTAAAAACTTGGATTGTCCAAGTGGTACCATTATCATGATCTGCAAAACCAGTTAACACAATGATAAAAAATTGTTATTTAATTAAAGAAGTTAATGTTTTCTTATACTGGAGAGGCTTTAGGAAAAGCCAAGAGTCCAAAAATAATTCATGTGGTGTACTGGTAAGCCATTATAAGAACAATCTCCTCAAGCAAAGTTAAAATTCTTAAGGAACATTGCACAGTATTCCAAAGAGCATTTGGTGTTAAGCACAAATTCAAAGATGATTGCATTACTATTCTGGTCAA